GATAACGGCTAAAACAAAAGTGGCTCCTGTCGAGAAACAGATTTCAATTCCTCGACTGGAATTGTGTGCCGCATTGCTTGCCACAAAATTGACGCAAGAGGTATCTGAGATTATGCAAGTACCTAAGAATAACTTGTTTGGATGGACAGATTCTACAATCGTCTTAGCATGGCTTACTGGCGAACCTAGTAGGTGGAATACATTTGTGAGCAATCGAGTGTCAGAAATTTTGACAATATTGGAAAGACCTCAGTGGGGTCATGTTAACACACATCAAAATCCCGCAGATTGTGCCTCGAGAGGTATCCGTAGTTCAGAATTACTAAATAATGAATTATGGTGGCATGGACCAAATTGGTTATCCATTACATCTGATTATGAAATCGGACTGGATGGTAGTGGCTATATAACGGACGAGGAACAGAAACCAATTAAGAATTTTAGCACGACTGTTTCACGGACAGAAGATTTCGAGTGGAATAGATTTTCGTCATTGTCAAAAGCATTGAGAATTTTAGCGTATTGCAGACGGTTTCTTAGGCTAAGGATTCCAAAGGAAAAAAGATCAGAACTGACAGCATATATCACGGTTGAAGAAATGAATGATGTCCTGCGCACATGGGTGAGGGAAACCCAACATTTTTACTTCGAATCTGAGGTTAAGCAACTGACAAATAAGTCTCAAGGAAGCGTAGCTAAAAAAAGTCCGCTGCATACTCTTTGTCCCATTTTCGATGATAATGGGATCCTAAGAGTAGGTGGTAGGATACACCAAGCCCCGGTAGAGTATAGCGTGAGACACCCAATTATTTTACCTAGTGAAAGCCATCTTACTAAGTTATTAATATTGGATGCTCACACAGAACATAGAGAGAGAATAGAAGTAGTAAGTGGGCGGGGCAAGCGTCGCTGGCATATGCGCTTTTACTCATATGTCGCCCTTTCCTCGGTTTTATATTTGTCAGTCGTTCGTCAATCGTCGAGTGGTGATTTTACTGATTTTTTCTATAAAAAATACCGTTTTGTGCTATTATCACTTGCAAAAAGCAAAACAAAGTATACAATCTAACTAATGCAAACATTTCCTTTCACTGGTAAGTACAATTTTAGTGCTAAAATATAAAAAACGTAATAATTTGACACAATTTCAAATAAAATATACATTGTTTGCTCAAACCAACATGTTTGTTTCTAACCCCGTTTCTAGACAGCAATGTAAATCATATTGTGCACTTTTGCAAAAAATAGTGCTGTGCCTCCTGAAAATAAATGATGAATTGATACGAAACAGATGAAATAATGAACTATTCAGGCACTTTTTTACGAAGATTTGGTTAATTATTTACACGCAGATAAATATTAAAAAATACTGATGTGCTATAAATATCTAAATTACGAAGTATATCAACGTTTTATGAACAATATATAAATCAAACGAAACTTCGTGAAAAGCTACGAGTGTTGGCCTAATAGGTCTTATTAGAAACTGGTGAAACTGGATTTCACTTATTTTGCATTACTTATATTTCAGTTTCCCTAATAACTTTACAACGGATTGCCCTGTTTACATAATTTATTTTGTCCTATCCGTTTTAGACCTAAACCTATCAAATGAATTTCAAAACAACATATTATCTATACAAACAAAAAATCATGTTTTCAACTAACGTAATATTGTTGGTGGTGTGAATTTAATTTACAAAATTAATTTATAGGCGTCAATTTAATTTACTTTATTATGCTGATTCATAATCGGAAACCATTATTATAGAAATCGAGTTAAGATAGCCACTTTAAAGAACCGCCCACAGAACAGCTTTTATCAGCTTTTTTGTTGCTTCATATTTGCACATAAGTTTATAAACGCATGTCTCAAACGGATGTGACTTTATATGTAGATTGACGTTTGTATGTACTTATCGCTTTTGTGTCTGTCTTCAAACTTTTTTGTCACGGCTTTCAAACTCATACTTGACCAGCGATTCCTTATTGTCCAGTCGTTGCAATTAAAAATGTAGGTACTATTATTATTACAGTTAGAATAATAAACTTAGAATAATAAAGTAAAACAAACATGGCTATGATCAATTTATTATTGTAATGATCATATTAGTTATTATGAAATGAAATGAAAATATCTTTATTCAAGTAGGCTATTACAAGCACTTTTGAATCGTCCAAAAAATTTTTTTCCCCTACCACTTGTTCAGGACGTCTTTTAGCTGACAAGAAGAACAAGCGAAAGAAACTTACCAGCCCTAAGATATTTACATAAATCATGTCATTTCATATCTTATCACAATAATAAATACAACTTTCAAAGTCTGTAGGACATAGGTTGAACATATAATTAGTCTTAATAGAACAAAGCGATGGCTATTCATTCCATGCATTGCGATTCTTAAAATAATCATCAACTTTATAATAGCCTTTACTCATAAGTATGTTCATTACATGAATTTTAAATTTATTTATGGGTAGGTAAACTACATTTTGTGGAACTTTATTGAACATAGCAATGTAAATGCATTGATCCTCTGGTTTTCTGAAGTCAGAAGCTTGGAACGGCAAGTTTATTTTTATTTCTTGTGTTATGATTATGAACACTACTTTTTTTGTGAAGGAATCGTAATGTTTTCTTGCGTAGATAATATTTTCATTGATGTATTGAGAGGCAACAGTCAAAATATTTATTTCTTTAAATATTTCTCTGAGAGATTCTCTAGACCGTAAATTATATATAGCATGGACAGCTCTCTTTTGTAGAATAAAAATATCTTGAATGCTAGCCGCAGAACCCCACAACAACAGATTATACGTCATTACACTATGAAAATAACTAAAATATACCAATCCTGCCGTTTCAACATTTGTCAAGAGTCTAATTTGCTTAACAGCAAATGCTGCAGAACTCAGTCTACTTGACAAATTATTAATATGAGGATGCCATTGCAGTCGGGAATTTAGTGTAATACCAAGGAACTTTGTCGATTTCACCAACTCAACTTTTTCACTATTTACATTTATAAGTGTATTAATATGCCTCACATTAGGTAATGCAAACTTTATGCATTTCATTTTATTTGAATTAAGCTTTAAATAATTACTAACAAACCACTGTAGAACATTGTCGAACTGAATTACATTTTACTGTTTCATAACAAAATTTAAACCTCTTATTTCATGAACTACTATTATGTCACATCACTAATATGCACAATCGGAATGATACCAGTAAATGAACGACAAATTAGGCTTAATGTAATTAATACAAAAATTCTGTTGGTTTCTTAATTTTTGTTTTTTTTTACACTTTCCCTCGCTTAATTATATTACTCCGCAGACATATGATAGAGTTTATCATTAAGTTTTCTTAGTTTTTGTACTGCGTTTTTTAAAAGAAGTTATATAGGGAAAAGCGTTATTTTTTAATATTCACTTGGTTACAGCAAAATCTAATCTTAATAGTTCGCACATAAAATGATGTCCCCAATTTTTTAAAATGTGCTTAATCTTAAAATATTTTTTCCCTTCTGGTATCCCCGTATACAGCCACGTGACAGTTCAACATTCATGTTAAAGTAAATTATTTATTATCACGTTGAATTAGAGTTTGTTTTTAATCGTGTGATTTCTTAGCTTAGTATCTTTTTGGGATTCTGTTTATGCTATCACGAACGAATCGCGTGGCAGTTTTTCATGTAGTGAACAAAATGATCATTTCATCTAATCTGTGTTTGTGTGCGGAGAGGCGACACTCGGTTCCCAAACTAAATCAATATCATTATACTTCTATTCTCTCTCTATGTTCTGTGGATGCTCACATTAAAACCATGCATGGAGGCCCACAACTAATGTTAAATTATCTGCGTTCCAAATATTGGATAATCCGGGCGCGACATCTAACCAAAAAATGTTATCGGCAATGTGTGACATGTATAAGATACTCACGTCAAAATAATTGCCAGTTGATGGGGCAATTACCAGAAATTAGAATTACACCAACTAGAGCATTTGAAGTCTCCGGAGTGGATTTTACTGGTTATATCAATTTAAGGTTTTCCCCAGGTCGAGGTTCGAAAACGTACAAAGGATATATATGTTTATTTATCTGCATGACGTCGAAGGCGATACATCTTGAAGCGGTGTCAGACTTGACAGCAAAAGGATTCATCGCAGCTTTTCGTCGGTTTGTATCTCGGAGAGGTCACTGTAAACATATGTACAGTGACAATGGCACGAATTTCTTGGGTGCTGATAAGGAATTGAGGCTAATGTTCACCAAGGCGGTATCGCAACTACCCAATGAGATTGCTAAATTTTTGGCAGGGGAAGGCACAACTTGGCATTTCATCCCTCCGCACGCTCCAAATTTTGGTGGTCTGTGGGAGGCTGGAGTTCGATCCGCCAAATCACACTTAAAAAGAATTTTAGGGAATTCTACTGCCACTTTCGAAGAGTTATCGACTATTTTAGCACAAATCGAGGCCTGCCTCAATTCGCGTCCACTTTCATACATGAGTAACAACGCCGATGCTCCACTACCTCTGACACCAGGCCATTTTCTAGTAGGCGAACCATTAATTGTAATTCCAGATGAAGATCACACAAAATCACATATTTCGGGTTTACAGAGATGGAAAATAGGACAAAAAATGATAAATGATTTTTGGCGAAAGTGGTCAAACGAATATTTAGTTTCTTTAAATCAACGGTCCAAATGGACTACAAAAAAATCTGAACCTGAAATAGAAGATATTGTTGTGATCAAGGACCATAATTTACCACCAGCAAAATGGTTGCTGGGAAAAATTGTAGAGAAACATACGGGAAAAGACAATGTTACCAGGGTAGTAACGATTAAGACCGCAAATGGTTACTGTAAACGTCCTTGTAACAAACTTTGTTTTCTACCACGATCTGAGTAATGAATGTATCTTTATTTTATTAATTTTGTACTTGGCATATATGTTCTATCTATATATTTTTTTGTTTATCTTGAAACTGAGACATTGTTAATAAACGTGTTAAGTTGATTGATAGGTATATGATTGATCTATCGTAACAGAAGATGTGAAATTAGAAAGGTTCAATTTAAATTTAGCTTTAAGTTTTATTTTTATATAGTATAACTATAACTATTCAATAAAAGGCTGAGATCCTTTGGTGGGCGGAATGTCCAAAATTAGAAAACATTTCGTTTATTTATATTGTTACATCATTACATTTTTGTCTTTATATATAAAGTTCCTGCTTCCATCACTAGATGGCGCTGATCGTTTCTAAATCTCGCAAGTACTACGTTTACCTGTTTTGATATATGGAGTAACGTTTGTTTGTAATAAATTGCTGTTTTACCACAACGAGTGTTTAAATTCATCCTACGAGCGACAGTGATTTAGATGAAGGGTTTTACTTTAACTTATTTTTCACTTAGATATTGGTTATCAATGATAAATAATTTTCATTTATTAATTGAGAAAGTGTGAGTGGACGATCCGAACAATTTTTTTTTATTAAAATACAAAGTTTGCGCTGAAATATAAATATAATTACCTCATTTGTACTTCCGCGAGTACTTTATTTTCGTGTTCACTGAGACCCTGTTCCATGACATCGACGGTGTCAACCAACTGCTCCACATTATAGAAACCGCAAACGTTTGTATCTATATTTGGTTGGTTGAGCGTGTACCAAGTAGATATGCGAGCTAGTTCTACGTTCTGTTCCTAAAAAACAATATAAATTTTGTGACACGTATTATCTAACAGTAAAAATAAGCATATTGAGTAGCTGCGATGCGGCCTGCGATCTGTTATATCTAGAAAATGTTCCTGTAACTGCTGTGCTAACGATTTCCAACTGACACAGCATTTTCAGGGCTTCGTGCATCGAGGACTGCCTCTCGCGAGTCAGTCTGCCACATCCCGCCGGTTCGGTCAGTCGCATCCACGGACTAATAACCCAGTAGGTATAGTTTTAGGGCTAAATAAATATTATTTTTTTAAAAGACTCTTTAAATCCCCAACCTAACAGATCGTTGTTGTTAAACAACAACCGGAAGGGTCGATCACGGGATGGGTGACCAAAAATTAATTATTTAATTGGTTGGTCCCGGATGCAATTGCAGTTGTTGATGCCCTCCAATCCGCATTGGGCCAGCGTGGAGTGTCTCGGACAATCCTCCCTAACTATCCGTAAGAATGACCTGAGCCCGTGCAGTGGAAACGTAAAAGAGCTGATGATGACGATGAGTTAAAATAGGAAGGTGTTAGGCACGAGACCATGCAGAAAGTCACCGATGCGCTGGACGGACCAGGTAAAGGCTCCTTTTAATGGTTCTCTATGCGGGATGTACAAAGAAGCAACCATCCGAGACGAGTAGCGACCTATCGTGAAGTACGTTAAAAACCCTCAACAAACGACCGCGGCCAATGCCACAATGCCAACAGTGTAGCGACTAAGTAGAATCAAAATAAGCAGTCTAAATACATTTTTAACAAAACGATATGCGCTTAATGAAGTGAGTCTTTCGAACTATTGTAACAACGTTAAATGATTATTTGTTGCTATTGTGACAGAAATCATTATTTATTGTTATTATATAAAAAATAGATTGATACAATAACGAATTTTCAACATGTCAGTGAAAGACGTTATCGTACAATTTAATAGAGAAAAAAAATGCCTCGCCCAATCTATGCTCAAACATGTTACATTATGGAATAGTACGGCCTTGATCCAGTGTCTCGAAAATGTGCCACTTTTCATATTTCTTCTTATCTTTAATATTAATAAATAATACTAATAAGCCTCTTCATTTCAATGACACAAAAATAGGTTAAAATTAAATAAATACAATACCTACTTACTGTCCACCCAGCCAACACATAAGCCAGATAGTAGCGAAAATATACCACAATAAGCAGTGTCAAGCTTTATTACTTTTGTATTACAGCTGAGGTTATGGCTTTATTTTGAATAAGAGAATTCTTAAATTAAAATAATGTTGTAAGCTTACTAAATTCTGTATAAAGTTCGCGGTATTTTTTTAAGCTGAATAGTAAGCAAGAGTAGCATCTGCTAAACAAGCGATATTCAAATAAGAGTAAATGAAACAGCTATTATCTGCATAGTAGCTGAAGTTTTTGCATTGTCCTGTATAACATATTTAAGCAAAGCAGTTAAACAGCAAAACGCTGAATATTAGACGAAATATTTTCTTTTAGCTGCATAGTGTACGAAATGGTACTAATTTATTCAGATGCTGAATATTTTAGATTTTTTTCTTCTTTACACAGCTGACTTCTGTATACTTGAAAATAAACTCCTCGTTTTACCTAACTTATAGCGTTATAAGCCTACAATTGTCTTTATGTGAAGCTTAAAACAATATCAGTTACAAATGTGGGTATCTTAAGCAGCAAATAACTGATTAGTTGAAGATATCGTATGTTTATATCCAGATATTTCACCATTTTGTGTCAAAACTGATAAATACTGCATCAACAATATGCCTCCTCAGAAAAATAATAACATAAGCGTAAATGATTCATGGAAAAAAAGAAAGAGAACGGGAGGAATAGTATATGTGCAGTAATAGAAAAGGGTTTGACAACTAATACAAATAGGCCCGGGTCAAGTGCGACCAATACAGTTGAAGAGGGTTCTGCACACGATGATTGTGCATCACCATCAGGATTAGTGATTCAAACAAATAGACCGGGTCCAACTTTAGGTGCAGATAACGAGAGTTACATGCGTGGCAACTTTGCATATCAATCACAGGCTACAATTGATAGTGATTCAAGTTCTACTGATTTGGAAGAAAACTCGGAATTCAATAAAAATATTATTATTATTTTCAATAAATAAAAAATTATGTTATTCGAAAGCAATAAATAAAAAATTATGTTGTTCTAAAACCGTATCAGTTCTGTTCAACATTTGATATAATTCTTCCTCAGCTTCTTCAGAAGTTTTGAAATGATGTCGTTTTAATGTATGTAACAGTTGTAGATGTTCCAGTCCGGCTGTGGAAGGATTGCAGGGTTCTTGCAAAGTTGTTCGCCGTTTTTTGGCTAATATAATTTTCCTTTGTTTTCCCAAGAAGCGTTCTCTGTTGGTAATTCAACTTGGCCTTTTTTACAAGTCGAAACGATTTTGAACATGTTTCTGAAAAAAAATATTTAGTTTTTCTATAACACTTCAAAAATACTACAACAACACTATTGATACTAACATTATATAATAAATCTCGATGTTTACGTTTGTATCTTACTTATTGACTACATGAGCGCCACAAGTCAGAGTGTATAAAAAGTACCTACATTAGTATAGGTCCCATCAACCTCAAATATTCTAAAAAAAGAAAAATCCTCAAAAAAGAACCCTAAAAATCTGAATTATACTGCATTATGTAGTTTAAGACTTTTATCTGAGAAATGTATAATAATTGTATTTTAAATCAAATAATTTCTGGATATGTAGTCGTATGTGAACTATTATGCAGAAATAAGCAAAATAACCACTGAAATAGACACTTTTATTCAAATTGGCCGTCCGCCATTAACTAACGTTCGACATAACCTCTTCTTATAAAAATCCTCAACATTTATCTTATGAAACACTTTGTTTAGTGTGTAGGAAAAATTAGCAGTTATACAAAATTTGATTCTCATTATTTTCTGAGACTGAAATTTGATAAAAAGTAAAGATAATTTATTTTTAATTTTATTTCACATTTGTTTACCTTTTAAATTGTAGCTTTATCTGAAGGCGCTCAAAAAATGTATAATAATCATATTGATAATTCACAGTAAAGTGCCATGCGTTTATATAATTCACCTTAAACTGACTTAAAATGTATGAAACAATTTACTTACCCAATTTTTGAAGACGTGAATCAGCGACCATTACAATTTTTTGAAGTAAGTCACACAAAATAATGAAACTCGTCGAAAAATACATTTATACTTCTTTTACTTGCATAATTTCTTTGTAAAACTACCCTTGAGATCGAAATAGTGAATATCATTTGAATATCTGAACTCACAAATTAACAACTGCATAAGAGATGTATAATTTCTGGACTACAGAAAAAAACAGAATTTATGCAGAAGATATTCAGTGTGTTGTTCATTTATTCAGCTACTATGTAGCTATTAATCAAACGTTATCCAAATTGAAGCAAGATATTTTGTGCCCAAATTGCTTGAATACCATCTGTATAAGCGCTTACACAGAAGTTATACAAATACTTTATGCAGCTTAAAGTCGAAAGAATTGCTTTTATGCAAAATTTACTCAGCTAATCTGTGTTGGCTGGGCAGTCTTGCCATATGGTGACGGGAATTGGCCATCTGTCTCCATAATAGGGATGGCGACTAATTTTTGTTTATTTGTCCGTCAGGTAAATTGTTGAAAAATATTAAACAGGTTTTTTTTTTGTTTTTTCGTAATCATTAAATTACAGTGCAATTTAAATGTCACATGACGAACTCCCACTCTCAACTTGCCTGTTATTTAAGCTGTTTCTTGTTAATTGTATATTATTTTTCTATCTTACTGACGGACTAAATGGAATTGCTTTTTTTTACCCAGTCATCATCCCTATAGTGGGCCATATGTCCGACCCATCTCCGCTTCAGACGTCGTGTGCATTGCAATACATCTAGTACTTGGGTTTTTGTCTTAGCTTATTGTTCTTCTGTTTATTTATGATCTTAATATTAAGCATGCTTCTAAAAATTTTTATACTTTTATTTTATCTTACCTTACAATATTCAGATGCCCGTTTACATATAGCTTTTATGTCATCACTCGCGGGATGCCACGGCTGCGGGCCCTTATTGGACAACAGTCCCATTCCAGTTGCGGCTGCATTGATTACACCTATGCCCTTGCTCTGCGAAAGAGATGGAATAAAATAAATATATACTTAGTAGTACATATTAAAAAGGAGGACGTTTGTCGAATCAACCTCAAAAAGTTTCTAAAAACCAATATTTTTAAAACAACGTTAAAATGATTGCGCCACAAAAGTTATATGTAACATTAAAATAAGTCTACGTTTGACGAAAATGTAGAAGATTAAAAAATCAGCAATTAAGATATTCCTACTTTGGTTTCTATTAGGTATATTAACTTATGTGACACTGGATTAAAAACAAGGCCGATCTATATACAGATCTTGAAATGGCAATGGCCGTGAACGACACTTTATTCACTTCCGCAGTAGGTACATTTCATCAAGTTGCAGATAGGTACAATCAACTGTTAACGAGTGCCGCTACTATAAGATCACAATTAGATCTTTTTTATCTCTGACTCGTTAGTGTCAATTACAAGATCTTGCTTCCAATCATTCGGAATTAAATTGGGTTAGATGGTTGAATCTATTACAGATTTGAGATGAATTTTATCCAGGACAGATTTGTATCTGTTAGATATAGTTTTTTTATAACGATAAATTATACATTCGAACTTTATTCAACCCCACGAATACATGTGATGATATTGAATAATAAATACTTGAAAAATTCTCCCCAGGCATCTCAGTGTCTCACTATTAAGAATACAGTATAAGGGCGCGTCGTATCGTTTCCGTCATAGTAATAAGTGAACGTCTAATTAAAATGTAAATTTTATAGGTTTGCGTTATTTTACAGTAGCATCCTATTAATTATAAATGGCAAAATCATAAGTCACAACTGCTAATGTGCCTCTTGTGTCCTCTTACAGTGGGCCCTACTACATTTTGTTTGACTGTGATTTTTACTTAAAACGGTCAATTTTGGCGACTTTTTAATCAAACCAACCACCAAACCAAAATTTTTGAGAAACATTTTCTTAAAATTAGTGGTGGCGCTTTTTTAAACTTCTAGTCTGAGCTACTGGTGTAAACTAATGAAATTGGTTTTATATAGTTCGCGGCGGCTTGCTATATTAATACAAAATGTCATTGTTTTAATATAGAAACAAGAATCTTATTATTAATTAAAAAATCTTCGTAAATAGCTATTTGCTGGGTGCGCGATGACGGCGCCAACTAGAGGTTACAATGACGTCGGATTTTGAAATATCAAATGGCTGGCGGGTAGTACCAAGATTATGTAAACATACAATAATTCCAATGAAACATCTTAAGTAGTTTGCTCAGATTTTATTTAATCCAGTAAATAAGTGTAGGTAATAATATCGATATTTTTTACTTCCCGTCTAAAATGCAATGATCAGTGAATTTTAGATAGTACACATGGACAATCTCATTGCTAACTTCACGGGAAAGAAGTATAAAAATAAACGAATTTAATCAAATAGAGAGTTTTAACTACCAATAAAACTTACCTATTATTTTTCCTAAAGATATCCGGAATCCATCTTGAGTCAAGCATCATCCTTTTTGTGACGTTTCCGGTCCAAAATACTACCTCCCCTCTTACTTCCGGCGCCTGTGCTGCCATCTAGTTTGCGGGTAGCGAACCAATGACTTTTAGGCACGAACGCTTACCGTCATTATACCTACTCTAGATGCACCAGGTAGAACTTACCTGGATTCCGGATATCTTTAGGAAAAATAATAGGTAAGTTTTATTGGTAGTTAAAACTCTCTATTATTTGTTCCGTTCGATATCCGGAATCCATCTTGAGTGATGTGTTTGTTATCTCCTGGTGAGTGCCAATTGGTGACGCTATAATGTGTTGCAGGTATAAAAAGTCAAATGTAGTCTGATGAGAAAAAATAATGCATATTATAAGTATATTATGCTATTACATACATAGTACATATATTATGCTGTTACATAACAATGCAATTATAATAATTATTCAAGTATTTCGGTAATCTAAGCTAAATAAATATTGGCTTATCTGTTATCGGTCAATATCATTAATGAATTGAATGGAATAATAAAAATGTAAATACATAGATATCGGAAGTTTCTTGATTGACCGATTTATCAGTTTTCGATAGGACTTCCTAAAAGTATGTTCTTGGCGCCAGTTTTACAGTTTCAGTAATTTATCCATCGGAAACAATTCCAGTCAATTTAGAGATGGAACTGCAGATGTAATGGACCCTGAAGAATCTTCCACATTATGTGCTTCTATTTAGCATTTTTGAGAACAGAGTAGTTAACTCGTGAAAATAACTTCTTTTTGGGGCTCTTTCAATACAAAAATTGATCGCGTGTCCAATACATGCAATCGAATGATTTGTGTCAGTTAATCATTTCTATCCAGGCTGTCATAATTACTATTATCTGTTTTTAATACAAAATGGGGTCATAAGACAAAAAATCATTTTCGTTACTTCAAAGGTTAAAAGGGTTAAATAATGGATTCTGCGATCTTGAAGATTGTGAAATTATGCTAAATTTCCAGCAACTTAAATAGAGTCAATTCTGCCAATTTCTACGTAAAATTTCCATTGTACTATATACCTGAAGTCTAATATTATTAGTGCAATGTTTTCCTAACAATTCAATATTGACAGATATATTTATTATTTTATGATCTAGTAACAAGAATGTGTCATAAAGGGTTGTAGTCGAAGCGCTATTGACCCTCCACCATTACGCCGACATTAGCAGAACTTCCCTACCGGGCACTTGTTATTTGCAGAATTAATACTAGTAGATATTTATAGTCGCTTTACATTAACTCGATAGTTTCAAGATTTTCTTTATTTTATTTTATTCTGCCCGACTTTTAAATAAATTTTCTGAATTTCGGGGGATGAATACCTATTGCAGTATTTGCGGAAACAAATCGTCAGCCAAGTCACTTCGTCCCATTTTGGAACAATCATAATGTACTTACTTGCCTTGACGCTTACTGGAGTCGAGAAAGTATTTGCGGAATCATGTTTGAATAAGGCCAGCTTGCATTTGCACTGATGACGTCATGCGTTATGACCTATTAGTTTGCTCGTCCGTCACATCCATTGTCATGTACCTGGGAATGACGTGTGCTTTTGTCGATGGAATAAGTTCACATCTGGTGTACGTTGGGCTGCTAGATTTAGTATTCAGGCTATGCATAATTTCTGAATCTGCCTTGTTCGTATCATAATTACAATAATATCCTAGATTTGGTTCCCCATCTTTGTTTATGTACGGGAATCAGTACAGTTCTCTTAGCATTTACATTTAGGCATTCCGCGAAATGAAGACTCGCGTGAGTAATTGCCTCGAGTTGAGCACTCGAACAGATTTCCTATGCACCTGTCCTCGGATGTTGAGCGATTTGCGTTGCATTTATTGGAAGGTATCATGATACAACAGTTACTTATCATTTAAAGTCATTCAGTACTGGGTCTGGTAATCCGAATAGGTAGTAATAGTTTTAAGCTGTCGATGTTAGTATTGCAGTGTGCGACAGTGTAATCACCCTCTTCGAATCACAAACGAGGCAAAGTCGAGTCTCCCCATTAGGAACTGGGCCTGTCTGAGGGACTAACCGCCTTGTACAATCTGATGCTGAAGTGCCATGCGTAGCGTGAAGCGTTCGGTTCAAACAGGGACTTCACTAAATGTTCAGTACTGAGTCTGGTAGTTTGATTCGGTGGTTATGGTGATCTTTGGGCAACTGTCGATGGTAGTATTGCAGTGTGCGACAGTGTAGTCACCCTCTTCGAATCACAAACGAGGCAAAGTCGAGTCTCCTCATTAGGAACTGGGCCTGTCTGAGGGACTAACCGCCTTATACAATCTGATGCTGAAATGCCATGCGTAGCGTGAAGCGTTCGGTTCAAACAGTGACTTCGCTGAATGTTCTGTACTGAGTCTGGTAGTTTGATTCGGTGGTAATGGTGATCTTTGGGCAACTGCCGATGGTAGTATTGCTGTGTGCGACAGTGTAATCACCCTCTTCGAATCACAAACGAGGCAAAGTCGAATCTCCCCATTAGGAACTGGGCCTGTCTGAGGGACTAACCGCCACGTGTAGTCGCCTCGTGCTGAAGTGCCATGCGTAGCGTAAGGCACTTCGGTTCCGACAGGGACTTACCCCTGACTTCCCCGGCACTTCCCGGCACCCCGTGAAGAAGTGAAGCAACGCCGAGGAAGTTCAGAACCAGCACGCACTGCTCGAAGTTGAGAGACCACCCTAAGCGCTGCTATTGTGGTAGCGCAGTTGTTGTGTTGGTCTATGTAGCAAAGTTTTTGAGTACCGATGGCAGTCCAAAGAGACACGTCAGTTGCATTAGGTAGGTTGTTGTATGCCAGTCTCAAGAACCTGTGAACCAGATGTTGTTCGGCGATACTCAAATGAAAATATTGTTGGCTCGGATATATTTTCGTAAACCATTCGTTTTGTATGAGAATGTTCGGAATACGAAAATTATTGATCAGTCGAAAAGGTTTTATTTTGACAAATCAGTGTCGTTTTAAATGAAATTGTCGGGCTTTAACATTAGAAAAGGAAATGATCAAAACAGGGTGTTTTTTGTAATCTCTAGTATATTAATTTGAGCATTGCAAACGATATTTGAAGATGGCTTAAAATCTCATGCATAAAAATATATTTTTTATACCATCACATACCTACATAGTTTAGATACCAAATGATATAGTTAAACACTTGTATTATGGAAATCTGAAACAACGAAGGTAACAACACCCAGACCAGAGACAATATAGAAAAGCTCATTATCTGCATTAACATGACCGAGAGTGGAATGCGGGAGCTCAGAAATGGTGACACCTTGGAACTGGTCAGCCACTCGCTCAAGATCCGACATATGCAATCTGGAACATCCTGATTGTTCCACAAACTTACAGATCGCATTAGATAGCCTCCTCCAATGTGTCATGTCATGCTTTGTATTTATTTCTAAAGTTTAATGAACTGGTCTCATTACCATTTAAATATTGGTGTGTACTTTTGGTAATCTACCTTGAATCAACTTGCAGTTGCAACCATTTTATGCACCCCCTTGTTTTTTGGGTGCAATATACTATTATCAAAGAAGAACTTGTTCGTTCTTCCTATCAGCCAAAAGACGCCCCGAACGAGTGGTGGGGAAAAATGTTGGACGATTCAAAAGAGAAGTCTATTTGGATAAATATTATTTTGACTTTGACTTTGAACTCTGAATTTGGCAAAAAATTCTGTAAAGGCACCTCAAAAACTTCTCCACGGCTCTGAACACATCAGTGCGTCTGCCACTTAATATTTGGAAAATATAATCCTTGTTGAATGTTGATTAGATTTTATCAAAAAGCTCTTTAGCATTAAGGTCTTTAGCAATAGATCAATCTACAATTTGTTGTAAACTAGTTCTAAACTAATTGTTTCATACTTTAATTCTGTTAAGGTATTTGTTAATGCTGTAGATTGTACCATTTCTATAAAATATAACTATAATGATTTCTATTCTCGCAAATAAAGATCTTATCTTAAATCATCAATTGTTGTAGCAGAAACAAATCGCCTCAACTTATAATTTAATTTGAGCATGTTTCATTTAATTTGGTTTCACCATAGACTGGGTCTTTAACGTTATTAAGAAAAAATAAATCCTATTTGAATTTGTGTTGATTGTTTTACTATAGTAGGTACATAAAGAAAATTATCACCAGTCGTAACCGCTGCAAGTAGGAACTGTTCAGGACCGTGGGGTCGTAGGGAACGTGATGGTGGCTGTGTTTGCCATAATTGCGGTCCTGGTATGGATACTATGTGCTATTTTGTTATGGAAAAATGCACAGGTGGATTTAGTTTTCCAGTTTTTATCATGCATTATCAAAAAATGTCACTGGTTGGGGTAACAAATCGAATGCAAATCACTTACAGTTTTTCTCGCCTCTGTACCTTACTTGCTCTCTCCGAGCTGGAATCCGACGACACTGTTCGACGAGCTCGAAGACAATAAACACGCCTGCTTCAATGCTGTTTTCTTTGTTTATTTCGCTGTCCCGTTGCTCCATCGCGAAGGGAGGTTAATTTTATATTCATTTCATTTTAATTTTAACACTAAACTATATAATAATAAGTATAATTTGTGCACATTTTATGTAGGACCGATGTTTTCGCCACGAAAAACGACGCTATAATGACGGTAAGCGTTCGTGCCTAAAAGTCATTGGTTCGCTACCCGCAAACTAGATGGCAGCACAGGCGCCGGAAGTAAGAGGGGAGGTAGTATTTTGGACCGGAAACGTCACAAAAAGGATGATGCTTGACTCAAGATGGATTCCGGATATCGAACGGAACAAATAATAACTCATTTCAATATTGCTTTGTGTATTTTGAGTCAAAACATGGACAACTTAATTTTAAAAACTAGATACCGAACAATCACACACAACGTGGCTCTCCAACCACAAATAAACATAAAAGTAAATAATTGGTTTTGGCTTAACTTGTGTTAAAGTCATTACATCATTTCAATTATTATAGAATAAAACACTTTTCTTAGTATTTATACTAACATTGTTGTGGATTCACATATACTTAGGTATTCGTCGATTAATGCAAACCGGTAAAATATTGCTGCTCTAAAATGGTACACTTTAATATCGTATATGGCGGTGGCTAAATAAAAATATTATCGGGTAGAACACACACTCAATCTCTTCTATAAGAATATTGTAATCGTCTATACATAATATCCTCTTTATATAAATTGGTATTTTGATAATTTGGTGTTTAATTATCTGCTAGAAATACAAGAACCAGACTCAATAATGTATTAGAATAAACATGTTTTTAAATAAAAGTACCGCGTTATGATGTTTTAATTTCATTTTTTTTTCTTAGAAGCATTATGGAAATCTACAAAACAATCCCAGAAACATACACGGGCTTATCATTAAAAACTATTTCTTAATAGAGGACTGCAAATTTCTTAATACACGGTAAATTTACCAAACATTATCAATACGACAAAAAAAAATTTGAGGAATTTTATTTAATATTTGATTTGGTCTTAGCCGTTGCATTATACTCTCGACATTGATCGAGCAATTGCAAAAAATGTTTTTGTAATTGATTACACAGATCGTTTTGTGACGCGTGCAAAATGCACGTATACGATAATTCCTCTAGTAAAAAGTGACAGTTCGTCCAGCAGCATTTCCTCTTTCCGCCACGGTGTGCGCTACAATCGTTCGTGTTCCCCCAACTCCTACTTTGCACCCAGCGAATAAGTTAACCGTGAATTTCTTTTTTTCACAATATTATCGAACAAAATTTGTACCAGAATAATTATTACTTCATAAGGGATAAAGATTTCTTCATTTTTAAGCACAAATTTATTATTTTTTATCTGCAAAATTACTAAAAACTGTGATACATCTGCTCACCGAGCTTAATTTATATGGCTGCGTATCGAGTTTGTTTGTTATTGTAATAGGGCTGCAGAGCTTTAGAGAGGTGCTTCTTTCGCTAGTATTAACAAAACTAACCTTAAAGTATTTGGTGTAGTTCTGTAGACGATTATCGAAAAGTGTTGACTTAGCGTACGACAAGATCGAGGAAATTTTTACATCTGATTCTTCAATGATCTCCTTCATGAGGTCTATGTCGTAATCCGCTAAGCCGATGTATCGCGCCTTCCCCTCCTTCACAGCCTTCTCCAAAGCTGGCAGTGTTTCTTTTAGTACTACAGATATGTCAGGAGCGAATGTTGCATCATGAACCTTTGTAATACATAAATAAGAAGTATTTTGGTACACATATTACGAAGATGACAACTATTTAATAAAACGAAAAATGTTGGTACTACGCTTAAAGACTATAATCAAACTACTTAAATCATAATGGAATATTTCTTATTTCATTCTATTTTAAACTATATTTTTAACCTTTTATGTGCCCACTGCAGGAACTCAGCCCTTCTTTATGGATGGTCAAGGAGGATAGGTCATGACCGTCCACGCTGGCCCTATGCAGATTGGAGGGTATTAACAACTGTATATTAACAGCCGGGACCAACGGCCTAAATTGCCTTCCGAAGCACAGAGTAGCTCGAGACAATTTTTTATTCCTCATCCCGTGACCGAGCCTTGCGAAAGTTACAAACAACAACGTTTATTGTGTAAAGATTATCCACTACGCCACCAAGCTATAAGTGATAACAAAAGGAAGGAATATGAAAATAACATGCCAACAAGAACAAGTTTTGAATACTTTATAAAGAGTTTATAATATACTAGCTTTTGCCCGCGACTTCGCCCGCGTGGTAGTTTTAAGACCAGAAATGAGAAAATTCCATAAAAACTTTCATCCCCTTATTTACCTCTTAAGGGTCGAATTTCGTTAAATCCAACCTTAGTGAGCATCTATGTCCTAAGAGAACCCGCATGCAAAATTTGAATCTCCTAGCATTTGTAGAAATGAAGTTTCATACAAACTTTCATCCCCTAATTTAGCCCTCTCCCCAATCCTTAACAACCTTCATTCCAAATTTCAACTTTCTACCCACACTAGTTTCGGCTGCACATTGTCTGTCAGTCAGTATATATATTTATAATATATTTAAAACTTTAGAAAATAAGGTACTGGCAACACTAGCCAGTACATAATATAGGCAGAGAGAGTCTAAAAAGCTTTTTGTATTTCTAATAAAATAAAGGATTGTTTTAAAGAACACTATCCTACAAACATTAGGTAATTATTAACCATCTGACATATAGAACAATAAATAATCCTTATATGAGATTAATTTAAAAGCAGTTATAATTGGAGTGAGCATTGTGTGCTACTGACCTGTATCAAATCAACATAATCCAAATTAAGAAGATTAAGTGTATTGTCAACTGCCGCCTCAGTTTTCTCTGCTGAGAAATCGAACATTTTTTCAGTTTTCAATTCATATCGCCCTACTTTGCTCCCAATAAAAAATGTCTCCCGTGGAATGTTTTGCAATGCCTATAAATAAAATTCAAGCCATATATATTATATACCTATAGAATCATAATTCTATCACTTCACATATATACATCAGTAACTCATACATCAAAGCAAAAATAAGAAAACCTTTGAAAATCATAATATATATAATGCTGACAAACTTTTTATTAAACTAAACAATATGTAATTTAAAAGTAAGTAATATAATTTTGTTTGGATGGTTACCTTCTATTTCTGTAGAAAAAAAAAATTATGCCTCACAAATGTGCAGTGCCCATTTTGAATTGACACTGATGAAATTATTGTATTTCATCTACTATGCTTTAGTGTAAAAAAGAAAGTCATGTTAGTTTCACCAATACTAAAGAAACATTGGACCAACTTATATGATTTTTTGCAGTTATTGGATAAACGCACCTGGTATGTCTATGGTCCAATTTTAAATCATCTCAAGGTCAAGATGACCAGTAATATGTTTTGTGTCATAGTGTGAGTGTCATTACACTTATCATTATAAATAATGAATCTTAGAATTTAATATTAATTTTAAAATCCTAAATATGCTCATTCATTAACTGTTAGGCAGAACAAAGATCACTGGGTCCACTAATAATATATATAAATATAAACTGTGATTAAATTTGTATCCTATTATACTTATTTAAATGTTACATATAAGTGATAAGAAAAAATCTAATGCAGTTTTCCAGGTCACAAATTAGCAGAAACACAAGTAAACAGATTATAACAACTTTTGACATTCACCAAGTAATTAAATATGAGATTACTTACCTTACCAATGGTTCTTTCTGAACTACCTTGACCATACCATGGTCCTGTTTCCAAATAGTTGATGCCTATTTTTAAACTCTCCTTAATAAGTGCCAAACTTCTATTCTCATCAAATGTTCTGAAAGTGAATATTATATCAATTGAAAAGAACAAAAAAAAAACAATTAACTTTCCTAGCAGTTCAAATGAATAATACTAAAAATTAAACACTACTGGCTAAAACTCTTAATATTCTTATAATATTTATGAATAGCTGTGAATCAAATTAAATATCATTACTCTAGGCTCATAGTTTATGTAAATAATGTTTGTAATTACTGATAAGATTTGATATATAAATAATAGAAAAAATATATTGCTTAAATTTAAATAATGTGGAACATTAAAAATAATATACATATACATAGAATTATCTCACAAATTATATTTTTCAGTTAATCACAATTCTCGGACATACCCGTAAATATTGCTAAATGCTGCTCCTCCCAAACTAATATGGGATACCTACATCCCCGTACTCCCCAGATAGTTGTATATCATATCGACTAATTATCAAATAAAAATAAATATCAAGCACGACCGCTCTTTCGTTCGCTGCTGCACTACTGCAAAGAGAGGGAATTAATTAAACAAGTGTTTTGCGAATTGGAATGATTTGATTAATAGTGTTACATCTATCCGCGTAGTATCGCACTACTATATTAAACAGAATGATGTTAATTTATCAACCAGTGATTACCTTAGGTGATCACATTAATTTTCAATCTCCTTCTCATAACTCAGCATTTCGCACAATTATTCTATCAATTACTAATCTCACGTGGAAAACTGTCATCTATTACACGGTCAGTCGGTAGGGATTTCCATGTACGAACTTTCCTTGTAAAGATAATTGAAACACTACCTACGGTTTTTATTGAATAGAAAAAATAATTAAAAATTAGACAATAAATAAGCTCTTGACACATGTCATCGGATAGACCGTAAATAGATAGGGACGTTCAACAAAATCGAGACATAGGTACTATTCAATTATTAGTTATAATGATAGATTTCGATTTGTTGGTTGTAACAAAGTTGTAAAAAATTTTCAATACCCTATTTAAAGCTTTCTTCTTCTTCTTTTAATAATGTAATTATCTGCGCATTTCGCACAATTTTGCCAAAGTCAAGTAAATAAATGAAATGATGAGGATGATGTGGTCTCAATTGGGGCGAGAAGTCTTCTTCTTCTTTTTTAATAAATGGCTTGTCTGCGTGTTAAGTCGTAATCAACGAAAGAAGTGAGCAATTCCAATGTGTCAAAATCATACTAAGTCGTATTTTTGAAATGATTTTATATCGACGAACTGCTATTTATTATTCCGTAAGTATTTAGTACCATCATGTGACCTTAAAAGTGGACTTCAAGGAGTTCCCTCCATATAAATTAAAAATTATTTCAGATGACAAATACTGATTTATCAAAAATAAGTTACAGAAAACCAAAACAGCTTTTTAAAAATATTTTAATCCTTTAAAATAATAACGCAGTAACACATTTTTCTCTTTATTTTAAATGAAATAATGTATAATTTTTGTAGATTGCACAATATAAAAAAAAAAATCTTAACATTTTATCTGAGACAAAAAGGCCTGAGACAAATACGATGACGTCACACGCTAGTAAATACGACTTTCTCTTTTTATGTTTGTTGTTTTCAGCTTTGTTTGCATTGTCTTCGGTTTTATCAAGTTTTAAATTTTTTCAATGGAAGATTTTATATACTTGTGGGGGCAGATTTAAGTAAAGTCAAAGGTGAGTCTGCCATAGCCAGTTCACACGACCACAACCTTATCTGGATTTAGTTAAGTTACTCTATGGGTTTAGCCAATGCTATTGTACTTATATGACACAGTCTCAAATGTAATATCTAAATCTTTATAGACAATGAGGAAGTATTAAAAAAACGAAAGCACCAAAAAAGCACCTCCACTAGATGGCGACTCCGGAAGGGTTGTCATGGAGAAATCAATAACTACCGTAGCGACATCTAGTTTGATTTTGGGAACTAATGCTTTGTTTTTAAATTCTCATTATGAGTGTCACAATTTTACAATATAATACGCTGCAATGAGCCAACTATGCATGCGTGTTGGATTTTATTTGGTTATAGTATAACTAAGTTTTGATATAATAAGAGCAATGTGGTGTCACATAGCTTTTTGTTTGCTGTTCTGTAGTTTGTTTTTAAGTGAAGAATAAGTGGTAGAATTTGACCATGGCTATAGTAGATAGTGGTAGATTTTAGATATTTTTTTAGTGTTCATGTTGGTAAGTAAAATGTAAATTCCGCGGTGCAGCGTCGCGTTGCGTGCAGTGTTGTATGGTTTGATCGTGGTATACTCCGGCTCAGACGTCCAAGTTAGGACTCTTAATTAGTGTTATCGTCAGTTTTATGAAGAATTTAGGTTTTAATCCCTAAAAAAATTTAAATAAAATGTGATCAATTTTGTGTTCATAAAATTGGAGCATTGAAAGTGAGTAAAAATAACATTTTTTTGTTATATTTGTTTACTTGAAGCTGCAAGAATGTCTCAGTATATAATTTATGTAAAAACTTCGCAAATTATGTGTTTTTGAAATGCCTTAGGAATTTTGTATTGTAAATCCAAGATTATGTATTCTAAGCCCACAGTAGCCACAGTACCCGGCTCTTTAGTGTCCATTCTCGTACAAAAGGAAATTCAGGATACCTTTAATCGAAATAGTAATTTAGAAATATTATAATACTATGTATAAATATTATCATAATAGATGTAATAGTTTATCATGGTAGTTAATAATATTTGAACAAAAAAAAACAACATTAAGTACAGTGTTCACATGAAGTTCAACACATATTATAACTGGATATAAAAAATGTGTATAATGAAATTATAACTTATTTATTATACATTCCTCATCTCAGTTCATTACTAAGTAGGAATAGGAACTGAAAGACAAATCACATGAAATACACATTGACAAAAAACATTTGAGTATTTAGCATAATTTATGCAAAATCTTATACAACTGTTTTATTTGAATATAAATAATTACCCCAACCTAAGTGGCATACAAACTTCTGTTCTCTATTCAAATTTAGAATACATATTACCTAGCTTTGTTAATTTAAAAAATAGAAATGTAATATGTAAATAAAAAACAATTGAATTTTAATTTTTTAATTTTAGAGTTTAATCAATAAGTTTTTGTCATGATAAATTGCAGTAAAATATTATTAGCTAGAAACTATTTGAGGGGACGAAAAAAAAGCATACATAACCATCAAAATGAAAACTCCACCTTTTCAATTTAAAAACAGTTAAAAATGGGTAAAGCTTAGAAAGAATTTTCCTACTGTTCTTCCCTGATGTTGGGAAGAACAGTAGGAAAGTTTGTGCTACTTGAACACAGGAAGAGCTACTGCCAACTTCTCTTTTATATCGCTTTAACATAATATCAGAGTCATGTTTAAAGATATGTCTTTATTGCAGTGTCTACAATGAGGACCCGGCTTCCCCGTTGCCGACCTTTCTCAACTCGCTTGTTGGCATTGTTGTGTCTGGTGCTAGGCTTTGGTGCTTACTGTTATTACTACAGCTCCCCTTCAGTAAATAAATCAGGTAAGCTCTATTTTATGAACATGCAATTTGCAGTTTTTTGTATTCTGCTATCATACTTAATTTGCTGTTGTAATATTAAAATAAATTTTAGTTCGGGACAATGGTAGGAAATAATGAAAATAGAGTAGAAAAACTATAATTGAATTGTAGGTTACTCTCTACACTAAACCAAAAAAATATATGAGATATTTATGGGATTGCTTATATGGTTATTACTAGCAATCCCATATATCTGTTATTAAAGTTAATGAGTGAGGGCTTGCTACATCACAGTTTTCTAGGAAATGTACAAATGAAAACATGACGTTATGTGACATTTTAACTCAAATAATCGCCGTTATTTAATGATTACATAAAAATATATGTTTGATATTTTTACAATTAAAAACAATCAACCTGACAGCCAAACGAAAAAATTTGTCAAAGTACCTATTACGCGGAAGAAAACTATCGACGAGTGTTATTATGGATAGCTCAGTATATGATAGGAAAACCCGAGGGAAGCATAAATTATACAAGGGTTAGGTATATTGACAAGTGAACGATTTAAAATATGGAAAAATCAAATACAAAATCTACAAAGAATATAATTCCAAAAAGATTATAAAAAGTATAAACTATGTACAAAAAGGATATTATTCATAACAAGTCTAGATTTCTTTTGTCATCATCTACATCATCACAGGAGTCTGTCGTTGTCATCTACATCATCACAGCAGTCTGATGCTTACCAGTCAAACGCCAACGGTTATTACTTGCAATGTTTTAAGAATCATATTTTATGGTGATCAAGGATAGTCAAGGGTATTTTTAAAAACTTATTCTTTAAAAAAATCTCACGTAACTTATAGAGACTAGTACTGCGGTCAACTTGTGGGGCTCTTTCTTGCCGTTCATTACAGTTTTGCGGGTAGCTTTAGGGGCTATCTCTTCACCATAACTGTTCAATGAACCATCTAATGTATCTGTGTAATGACTACGACAGTCCTATACTAGCTAGATATGTCAGATCTTTAGTAATGTGGTCTGGCAGGCATGTCTGCAGATTTGCCCGCGGGAGCATGCCCGTCTAGTGAAGCCGTTATCTCTTCACTCATAACAGTTTATTGAATTTTCGAATTAGGACAGAACCAACTCGTTAAATCCAACTCGTTCAGGGAGATTCTAAGTATAGAAGTATCACAAGACAAAGATTAAAAACCAATGTATTTTACTGAGGCTTAATGTGTGTTTTGAGTTATAGTGTTGGCTTTAGGTTCTGTGACGTGGTCGCTAACTGTGAGTTTCAAAAACAGACTCGAAGTCACTCCGAAGGCGATGTAGAGACATTTGTTTGGAATCTTTGCGATGTCTATTCCGAAATGAGATTTGCAGATGAACATAAGTGGCCGATATAGAATTGTGAGCCTGAAGTGGCAATAGGTAGGGCACATTGCTCGAAAAATAGATAAGTGATGCTGCAGTAAAGACCTCAGGTGGCGTCCACGGCCCAGAAAACGGAGCATAGGTAGGCTTCTCACGAGCTGGACCAATGATGCGTTGACCATTGAATGAAACACAGGACCAACCATTGTGGAGATTTTTACCTTTTTCCGGTGGGCGTCATCCGGCTGGCTAAGACGCAGCGAACAGTAAATTCACTTGGGTTTTTGGTATAATTCAACGTCTAATAACTTTTTTCTCCAATGAGTCACAAAGTTATCGCCATACTAAACCAAATGTATGTATTTAATGGAGTTTTCGAATGGTACTCGTTTCAACTTGTTACAAAGAGGTTACATATGCTTTGTAGAATTATCAAAAAATATCAAAATTTACCAAGGTTGCCAATTATCAAATTGTCATTAAATTCAAAAGTTTCTAATTTCTTAAAATCAAAGTTATTTAAATAAATTAATGAGGTGCACCTTTAAAAACTATTTTCATAATGTTTCGTTTTATATTTTACATTATATTTCACAGGATAAAAATTTTAAGAAATTGTTTCTGTTTTATTTTTAACACGACGCCCAGAAAAGTTAAAGTGTAAAGGTTAACTTTTTCAGCTTTGATCTGATAACTCTTGTAAAACGATTTAAACAATAATCATCAACTCGATTTTTAATTATACGATCCTTAACGATGGATTTCTCCACTCAAAAAAAATAAAAACCAAATCAGTATATTTACCTAAGTCCTAAGCGTTTTCTTCAGTCATCTTCACAGAAATATTCTTCGATATGTGATCTAATAGGTTTGATTCGAGGGTTGAAATTGTACACTATGTATCGAGTTAACGATCCAAAATCGACAAAGGCAAATGAATATAACGAGACGGATGATTCACATGGGGACGCTGATATAATGGGGCTATTATTATTTTTAGCATACATTATACTTCGGATACGATATTGAACATTCCACCCAATATATCCAATTGATAATATAATGCTAAAATTATGCTACCTACACGTATTTGGATAAATGTGAGTACTAATACAGTGACTATTAAGGTACGATAGGCACTCACATTTTTTGCATTCATATAATTTTAACCGTGGGAGAGCCACGCTTCGGCATGAATGGGCCGGCTCGACTGGAGTGATACCATGGTCTCACAGAAAACCGACGTGAAGCAACGCTTGCGTTGTGTTTCGTCGTGTGAGTGAGGGTACCGGAGGCCTAACCCTTCCCTATTCCCTTCCCTCTACCCCTCAACCCTTCCCTCCAAGGCCGGCAGCGCGCTTGTAGCCACTCCGATGTTGCAGGTGTCCATGGGCGACGGTAATCATTTACCATTAAGTGATCCGTCTGCTCGTCTGCCCCCTACCCCATAAAAAAAAAAGTTATTTAATGGTTTACACTAAAATGGCTGACTATTGGTGCTAATGTACACATGGCTGTACGTCAAATTACCACAATATGTCTTTCCCCAATTGATTTTGAACTTTACTCTCAATTAATTAAAGTTAAAAAAATGTGTGGAGAAATTTGATAGTTTTGTATAACCTGACGTACTGTTGACTGTACTTTCTTCTTTTCACTTCTGATAATAACACGGGATTGCGAAGGAATCGATGCTCTGATCAGAATCGTTCGTTCCCTCATGTCTATTTTAGAAACGCCTCAGATCAGAGCTTAGTGCTTCAAATGTGACGAACTCTATTTATCTTTTTGCTCATTAATTAAAATGAAATATGTATTGTAGGTATCCTTGAAATAAGTTTAGTTGTAAAAATTATAAATAAAACTTTAATCACGACAAAAAACGGATAAATAATTTGAGGAATTTCTATTGAATTCGGGCGGCGGGTTTGTGGATAGGGTAAATATTAATTCACATATTTTTTTATTTTGAACCTTTAAAAAGGAAACTACTGACCCGATTTTGATGAAACTTGTGCTGTTCCCTAAGTGTAAATCTAAATAGTCAACAAAAATATTTCGATCCGGTGTCTCATTCTGAAACACGTGGACCAACATACATACATTTAGCACACGTGCTTAGAAGTCCCTATAGTCTTAACATATATCGTGCCATTCGTACGAAAGTACAGTCCATTATTTCTACCTTGAGATCTTAGATCTTCAGATAAGTAATAAACAAACAACTGTCAAATCCAAATCACGAGATAACAAGGGAATCGCCTAATTTGAGCTGTGATATAGTTATCATATATGTTATGTAGTCATAAATACACTAGTTTATACTACATTAACACATTCATTTTCACTAATAATAGCTTAATATTTTCATCTATAATCGTAATTCTTACAATGTGAAAAATCACAGAGTAATTAGATGATGCGTAAGTTGATTAAATTAATGAAAAAATGATTTAAAATTATGATATTTTGGTAGGTTTGAAATGAATCTTTATTGCGACATAACCAGATAACATTAATGAAACCATTGCGGTTTGACATAAACTGTTCTTATATACCTAGTCTAGCCATAAATTATGTTCTTGGCTGTTTACGAACGTTAAAAAAAAAACATTCATTTGAATTTCGAACATTAGCTTCTACGAAAAAAAATAGACTTCTTTCCCGCCATTATTGTATGCTTTTTGTTTAGAAATTATTTGTTTTGAAAATGTATGGGGCTCTAAAGAGAATAGGATTGCAGTAATTGCCTGTACAAAGTAGATAAGTAGCCAGCCGACATTCTTGATACATTGAAAAAGCTAGGGATTAGCCGATTTGTGTATCGTACCATCCAAAGGTACACTGAAACCATGTCTGTTGATGACCGTGAGAGATCCGGACCGCTGTCTATTCGAACAAAGCAGGTCGTTAATGCAGTCAAGGCCAGAACTCGTTGAAATCCCATAAGGAAGCAGAAAATCCTTTCCAGAGAAATGAGAATCTTACCGAAGCCCCTTTCTCGGATTATCATACAAGACTTAGATCTAGGGACTTACCGGAGATAAGGTATGTCCACCTTAAATCAGGCACTAAAACAAAAGAGAGACTTCGATACGCGGACGAAAAGCACAGAAAAATTAAAATAAAACAATCGAGGAGCTCTGCAACAAACAAAATGATCGTGTGTATGCACACAGCTTTAAAGAAGCTTCCGAGGTTGTGGTCAAAGTTGAGCGAGGTCATGATCCAGCATAAGTCATGATTTAGTGTCTTTTACCAAGGGGTTACAAAACTCCATTTTTGCGAAAAAGGAGTGAAAATTTAAGTCAAAGTGTATCAAGATACCGTGTTAGAAGCGGTAGTTGCACTTTGTTCAAAAGCGAAGTGTGGACATTCCAACAGAAATGGCCTATTTGCATTAACAAAATACTGCCAATGTCACGTTAGTCGCCTTTACATTTAAAGAGACAATAGGACTCTGCTCTGTGGTTTTGTGCTAGCAACGATTGTTGGCATATTTTCCGTGTTATTTGTGGCTGTTTTCCTTTTTTCCCGTATCCTGTGTGTTAATTTTAACTTAAATTGGTGGTGGATTAATCAAATTGTTATACGTGAGTATATTTTGTGTTGTGTAAATGTCTGATCCTCCGGACCCCGGAGGGGGTGATAACGAGCCATGTGCTCAATCATCACCTCCTGTATTCTCGCAGATGGAGATTGAAGTAAGTAGTGCTACATCCAGAAAACGCGTAATTGAAGATCAAGTCACTTCATCACCCGCTAAAAAGACAAACACTTCCCAGTCAAATCCTTCAATTCAAACCACTTACGTCAATCCTCAGTTTGTTGATAATAAACCAAAATATTCGGACCAAGACCTTGCCCCTTTTGTTGTCCATGTCAGTAAAAAAATCTCAGAACCCAGCTCAGGCTCTGTACTACGCCCTATTAAATTCGGACACTTCCTATTCAATAATAAAATTAAAAACATTGTTAAGGACGGTATTAAGCGAATCGGCAGAAACAGAATCTCCGTCGAATTCAAAAATTATGTTGATGCTAATGCTTTCCTTGAACACTCTGCCCTCATTGCTGCTAAGTATGAGGCAATTATTCCCAGTTTCAGCGTCACAAGAATGGGTGTGATTCGTCAAGTTCCTGTAGACTGGACCCTGGAGGAATTAGTTGAAGCTCTGGAGATACCTACTGGCCATGGACAAATCATAAAAGCACGAAGACTATGTAGGAAAACTTTTGTTAATAATTCACCTGAATGGGTCCCCACTCAGACAATAGTAGTGACATTCTTAGGACAAAATTTACCCTCTTGTGTCTACTGTTTTTATACATCTCTTCCCGTAGAAACATATGTCCTCCCAACAATCCAGTGTAATAAATGTTGTAGATTTGGGCATATCCAAACGCAGTGCAGATCACAGCCACGCTGCTTCATATGTGCAGGTTCTCATGAAGGTTTTACATGTTCTAGAGACATACCAACATGTTTATTTTGCTCCGGTCAGCATAAGGCTACAGATCCATCTTGCCCTGAACAATCCCGACAAAAACAAATAAAACTTGTTATGTCACAAGAGAATATTTCTTACACTGAAGCATCTGTTAGGTTTGCACAGGTCAGGAGGTCTTTTGCTGATGCTGCACGGTGTGAAGTTAACATCCAATCCACACCCCCCTCCCTGCACTATTTATCCCCCAATTCAACACCCATTACTCCACCTACAACCTCTTACCGTAAAACAGTATCATTACCTAGACACCATCCCACTCCTGCTTCAAGTCCAGGATATAATCACCAGGATCACAGTAACATCACTAAGAATCCTAGGTCCCAATTATCCAATGGATGTGCTTACCCAAGTGAACCACCTGTACCAAATGATAATTTAATATCCTTATTACTGTCAACAATTATTAATCTTCTCGGCCGTTTTAGTGACATAGGCCTACCGAACAATATCAGAGATCAACTGTCTCAGCTCCTTACACTTGCATGTCCTAATGGCTCCAATCGTCCAATGGAACTGTCGCAGCAGTAAAATGAAAATAAATGAACTCCTGTATTTCGTAAATAAATTCTCTCCTATTGTTTTTGCCCTGCAGGAAACGATGCTTAAACCTGGTGTAAATTTTCGTATTCCAGGATTTGCATGTTTCCGGGATGACAGAAACGATGGATATGGAGGAGCTGCCCTCCTGGTTTCAAGATCCTTAACATTCTCTCTTGTAACACTCCCTTCCCATAGTGAAAATATTAACATTGTGGCTGTCAAGGTTGTAGATGTTACATATGTTTCAGTATACATCCCCCATCCAAAACTTGAACACCTTGCTGAGTTATCTAATATTCTAACATCACTTACTCAACCCTTTATTGTTTTAGGAGATTTTAACATACACCACACATCCTGGGGTTCATATTATTGTGATTATCTGGCTCCTCACCTTCTGGACATTTGTGATAACTTTGACCTCTGCATTTTAAATGACGGGTCACCTACACGTAGGGTTTCCCCGACACAAAATATTGCTAGTGCTGTGGATTTATCCTTATGTACTCCATCCCTTGCTTCTCTGCTTACTTGGACAATTCTCCCAGTTACCCATGGAAGTGATCATTTCCCAATTGTCATTTTGATGCCTGAGTTACGTACTGATAGTGTGAATGTCCAAACTATCCCCCGTTCCCAACTTAAATATAACTTTGCAAAAGCGGACTGGGCTGTTTACAAAAATAATTTAGAATCAGAAATAAAAAACATTCCCACAGTTAATAGTAATAATTACCTATCTGTCTACAGTGATTTTAAAAATTGCATATTATCTGCGGCAGACAAGTCCATCCCTGTTAAAAATTCCTTTAAAGGTAAACCTCTTTCTCCACCATGGTGGGATTCCGAATGTACTTTAGTCTGCAAAAACCGAAAAGCTGCTGAAAAGTCCTATGCAGCATCCATGACTATTTCTAATTATATAAAATATCGGGCTGCGGCTGCAAAAGCGGTCAAAATGTTAGCACAAAAAAAAAGGATTGGCTGGCATAGATTCTGTGAATCCATATCTCCTAGATCACCACCTTCTATGGTCTGGAATAATATAAAAAGATTTCGCAAAGCTATGATCGATACAAGCAATTTTACTACAAATAATACTTCACAATGGCTTGACCCATTTCAGCATAAATTAGCACCTCCATTTGTTCCTACAAGCAATGAAGTTCCTATCTCTATAATTCCCTCACTTCCTTTACTAACTGAATTCGATGCTCCGTTCTCGAGAGATGAACTCTCAACAGCTTTAGACGGCCTTAAGGACTCATCGCCGGGTATTGACGGGATTCCATACTCTCTAATAGTTAACAGCAATGCCTCAACTAGGGACCTGTTTTTAAATATTCTTAATAATATTTTTTTGACAAGCATCCCCCCGGACGAATGGAAAAGTCAAGTTATTATCCCCATATTAAAACCTGGGAAACTCAGCAATGACCCAAATGGATATAGACCAATTGCTTTATCCTGTACTATGGCCAAAATCTTTGAACATCTTATTAAAAATAGAATTGAGTGGTTTGTAGAAAGTAGGAATCTCCTACCTAAAAGTCAGTTTGGTTTCAGGAAGGGCATGAGTACAATGGACAGTCTGAGTATATTCATTACAGATATATGGGTTGGACTATCAAAAAAGGAGAATATTATAGGTGTCTTTCTAGATGTTTCATC